ATATGGTAGTTTGAGTTGTTAAAAAGTGCCTCGCTAGAAATTGCTAGTGGTTATACCTTTTATTTAACCAATTTTCTAAGAATAGTACGCTTTAGCGATACAAACTGTTCCAAGTTCAATTCCGGCATGCAGGATACGAAAGAAAATATGGAAATTACGGCATATACAATAATGCTCATATTTGATGGAACAGTATAACATCATTAAATAAGAACTTGTAATCAAAAGTAAGTGATCTGTATTTATTGGGTCTCATTTAAGCTACACACAAAGTTTAAGTATGTCTTTTTGTGAATTTTTCTCAAAAGTGGCACCAACCTTTCATGTTGTGATCATTTTAGGTAAATTTGGAAACGTTTATTTTGTGGCTTGTAGATACTTTTACAATGTTTAATAGTCGTAGAATTTCGAAGAATTATACATTAAAAGAGTCGGTGCCACTTAAAATGCGCTAATACTAATACTTGAATTCCACTTTTTTAGATTTTTTTACGTTTTAGTTTATGCACATAGCTTGACGTAGACATTTCGAAACTCTTGGTGAGTTTTAAACGCGTCTAACATTCTAAGAAGTTTGTAAACATAATTTGTATGTTTTTATTAGGTTTCCGTGAAGTTTTCAGTTTTATTATTATTTTTGGATAAAACATCTTTCTTTCTTCCAAACGTATTCCTATTAGTCTTAATTGATGATGGTACTTGAAATTAATTTTAAGATTTAAACTTTGTGATAAAATTTTTATCATAAACCTTAGGCCTATTGGTTTTGAGTGTTTCGTGTTTTTGTGGCATTTAAACCGTAATTTGTAGGATATATGACGTAATTAGAAAATATAGTTTGTGATGTATAGTCATAATGTGGAGAATAAACTGAAAAGATAAAGTTTGATATGGTTTTCATAAAGATTAAATCTAAACACATGAGAACTAGTTGTAATTTTGTGTGTGTAATGCTCATAATATGAGTATTTTTATTGAAGTTTGCACAATTATTATTGAATTAAATTATTTTTTTAGTGTCCTTGAAAAATGTTTTTCTATTTCTTTTATGATGAAGGTTGAAGTTTGAACAAAGTTGGCTGAAGGAATGATGGGGCGTTATTATTATTATTATTATTATACAAAATTCCAATCCCTCATTTTTTTTTTTTGACGGGTCGGGTAAAGCTAGTTTTTAATATAAAATATATCTGTTGAAAATATGTTTATCTCATGTTCCAAAGCTTTCTTTATGCCAAATGCTGTAATGTAATTCTATTAAACTTGCAAACTAGTTTGTAATATTATAGGAGGAATTCAATTTTGTTTTCAGGACTAATGGGTTGCTTATACTTATGTTAAAATAATACTTAATGGTGAACAAAAACAGCAGTTCTTGTCCATTCATTACTGTTTTTTATTCTGATTATAAAACATTTATAATTGGTGATTAGTCTATATGTGTGTGTGTGTAAAAGAACAATGTTTAAATCTTAATGTTAATTGATAAAATATTAAATGGCATACCAGCTATATGTACAAGCATTCAAATGATATTCGGCAGAACTTCTTCATTTTGTGATGTAAAAAAATTATGCTAATATAGTTGTAGCGCAGCTGCTTTTGGTATTTAACGTTGTTTGTGGGTTTTATGCGAATAGCCATGCAATTGTTTAAGCTATATTTCATGCAAAGTTGCTTCTAGATTTAATCTTGTAGCACCTAATTTGTACTGTTAAGTCTCTGGTCGTTGGTTAATTTTCTGTAGAAATTCTTTCCCAGAAACTTCGGCGATACAAGTCCTTTCTTAATTAAAACTAGTTTATTTCTCAATTCAACTTTGCAATATACTTAATTTACACAGTCACTTTAACTCACACACACGCTATAATTCACAACGAACGATTCACGCATTTTACTACCGCGCTTGACTCAATTGTCCGTCTCTATCTCTTCAATCTGCAATTATTCATCTATATCCCTATTCATTGTCTGGCGCACTTATATACAAGAATAGAGGACGCCTAGCAAATACTGGATTATTCGTGATGTTCCCA